CCAAACGATTTCAGGCACGACGCCGAATTGATAGTACCTGGAACGACAAGGGAGAACAACTAACAAAGCGGGGCGAATGCGAATGCATTAAATGAGACACCTGAGCGAAAGAACACGGGAGCAACTGTTGGGCAAAGGCAGTGGCAAGTACGGCGTAACTCAGGGGAAAGAAAGGCCGAGGCCTGACAAAAGCCAGGGCAAAGGTGAAAGCAAATCCTCGACAAGTAGACAGTGATGCAGGAATATCATGAGACAAAATCGTTAGAGGGAACGGTGTGGCATGAGATATATTGCAAGGGTAAGATAGAGCAGGTATACACATAGTAGCAGCCCATAGAATAAAACGCTAGAAAAGAGCTAAACAGGCATCAACGGAGAGAAACCCCACCATACTCCAAGGCACCCGCTGAGGGATGTACGAGTATAAGCAGAGGTGGTCAAGGCTTGGCACCGGCTATACCGAACCGGTCACCCCCACGCCACGTTGAGGCGCCAAGACCTGTGGGGGCCAATATCGCATTATACGCATGTGCCCGTGACGCCTGTATTTTACCAAACCCGAATTTAACCAATACAAAACCGCGCGCCAATATAATCGATAAAAAGGGTAATGTTTAAACAAAATCGGAATTTATATTTTTGTCACGATTTTTTCCAAAATATTGCTAATGTTCATTTCTAACTCGAAAACACAATCCTGGAAGAAATAAATAAGTTAAGTATTCTGATCCGAAGGTCGCTGGTTCGATTCTATGTTATTCTTTCTCGTTAGGACTCTTGATGTTTCTTGCATATGCGGTAACTTGTCGTTTTTTAAACTGTTTCTTCGGTATTTGCAAATGAGCGAACGATGTTTCCCCTGCGTAGTGGGCTTTTTCTTTCTTTTTTTACCTACGAACTAGCTCACAAGCTTAATTAGTTATCCCCGACTATGTGTTAAGTGGTCTTGTTAGAGACTGGTAGTGAGACTGAGATCTTTAGTTAGGAGTCCGCATACTGTATCATCTGAGATCAATCGCAAATGTCATTTTTATCTTCTTGAACGAGTCGCGTTTTTACAGTGTCAATTAATAACTTATTAATAATGCGCTATTAACAATACACGTCCACATTATCATAATACTGTCGCTACGACAGTAACGACAGTGTCGTAGAACGCGGGTAGGTCCCTCAGCGACCGTCGACAATGCGCCTACTTCACAATGTGAAGTTCACATCACACAAATCTTGAAAAAATCGGGCCTTGTATATAGTTATTCAAAATGGTACAAAAGCATCGAACACAGCTGATAAAAACGCCCTTACAAGATTTTGAACCAGCGCCACCGATTACCCAGAACCGAAGACTAACCAACGCGCTATTCCAACTCTTAAAACCGAAACCAAAGTAATCCCCCAGCGGCTGGAAAGCCCAATTTAAGCTCTGAAATAATTAAAAGTATATTGCTTAGGTTCGAACCCTATACCGATGCACTTACAAACACGAAACTTAACCACTGAACCATACACTCTACATAACAAAAAGTTTTTAAGTGTTCTCCATGGCTACCTGTTATTGCTTAAACGTTCCCCAAGCGATTGGGTAAAATAATGCTAATATATATATTAATAGATTATAATGGCGCGCGGTTTTTAGTTGGTTAAGATCGGGTTTGGCTAAATTCGGGCAGAGCTCATGTGCCGCGCATTCGCGTGCGCCATCTTGATCTATTATTATCTCGATACTATAGAGGTTCTTTGGACGAATGAGCACTCGGAACGGCATCTGCGGATAACCATGACCCGTGCTAGCCTTCGCAAGATATGATTCTAGACACCGGCGATAAATGACACTAAAAACATCATCTCCAATAAGTGCAATGTGAATGCTCTACAGCAATCTCGTCCATAGATAATCCTTTCCGGGCAATGGATTCTAAGCATCTCAAATTTAGTGTGCCTGAGTCGGTCGCACTTATTAAGATTATTGGCATCTGTGAATGGAGTAAAGCATTGACTCAATGCCATTGAGTGAGAAGGTTAACCTCATGCTGTAAGCTGTAGGAGGTAATACATCGATATACAAGCTTCGTGAGAGCGAGCCTGTATATTCGCGCAGTATATGCGGCTTCACTATGTGGATCCATCCTTATCCATTGGCGCGAAAAAAACCGCTAATTTCATGCAAGGCGCGGCACGTGTGTGCCATTCGTATGGACCTAGTGGCAGATTCATCTCGATCATCTCATGAGCGACGATAGGTAAAGACGGCTGTTGCAAGTGGATGAGAAAAAGGTATCGAATAATTCTCATCGGGTATGGTAAATGAGAATAATCAGTACATACTCTTGTCAAGATGGTGGAGCAGCGCAAAGCCTCGAAGAGATCGCACGATAGTGCGAGGCCTTTACGTTATACTGTATAACTTATACATAGTTGAATGTCGAGGTAGTCGTAGGAGTGTGCTCGCTTGTATGGAAGTCTCTCGTATCAGTCAAGCTGAGGGTATTACCGGGCGACCCCTTGATAACAGTTACAGAGAAAATAATGACGACAACATTGTCGAGCATTCGGGTGATAGCACACTACAGCATTTCCACGCCTTGAACTGCGCGCCTTGATTAAATTTAACTCGTAAACTTTCAAATAAACCGGGTATAATATTAATTTTCTTGGTGTTTTATTAAAGCCATGGGTAAAACGTTAACTAAAAAGGTAAAACATTAACCAAATGGGTAAAAAATTAATTTGATCTGGAAATGCTGTAGTGTATGCGACACGGCAAATTTTCCTCGGGTTGGTAGGACTTTAGGGCTCAAGGTCTTCTACCCGCACGATGGTGAGTTGAACGGAGTCGTTTTGAAGTTCCCTTTCGCGAGTTTGGGTCTAATCGTGAATTGTCGTGATATCTGGTCGCGGGTGAATTGCTTTGTTCTCCCACTTCTCAGTGGTCTCTGATCTCTCCTGTGGTAGGCAGTATCCAGTAGTGTTTTTATACAGTTTGGGTAGTATCCGGTCATTTACTGCATTATGTCTGCCATATTCGAAGACATGTTTGATGTGAAGAACATTGATGATGAGAAGTTCGACAGGGGTACTTCCTTCCGAAACTCCACGGCGTAGGTAGATGTTCTTTGTCAGTCTCTCGGATAAAGGCACAGTCGCACACTTACAATGCAGAGATTGAGGTAGATATCAACACTGAGATCTATCCCATCGGCAGCAGTGACACGGTAGTTCTGATGAAAGGGATCGTTTGGTCATGGCTGTTGAGAATGCCGTTGTTGATGTATTAGTTGCGGATCGCTATTGCCTCGGCCGCTGACGCCAATGAGGGTTACCAGGGAGAGGCGGCGCAACCTGGTATCATTGATGATTACGAGTATGCTATGTACGGCAAGGTGATGGCGGGGAGCTCTGGTTGGGGCGTGGGAAGAGATCATGTCTTGGCAGGTATATAAGAAGATGAATAAGACTGTCGGAACCGAGACTGTTGCTTCACGCACTATCATGTAAGGAAGCGATGAAAACCAGAAAGAGTTCTAAGTGTTTCTTATTAAAAAATACATTTTATAATTTTTT